GCCTGGCCCAGCTCCTGCTCCCCAACACGGCCCCCCTCGGCCCCTCTCCGGGGAACGCGGGAGCTGGGGACACCCCTCCGACCACGCTGAGCCCCCCCGGGCACCCACCGACAGCTGCTGTGCCCCCCGACACCCCCTCTGAGGCCGCAGCCCCCCCAGCTCCTACAGGCAGCCCCAGCTCTAGCCCCGAGGGTCAGGGACCCCCCGGGGACGCGGACCCCTCTGCTGTGCCACCAGCCAGCGGGTAGAGCCCCGGCGGGCACGTGGGTCCCAGGATGAAGAGGAGGAGGAGGTGGATGAAGAAGGAGAGGAGGAGGGGGTCTGCAGGACCAGCAGGTCTGGCCCGTCAGGCCCCTGGGGTGGTGGGTGGCTGGGGAGGGGGTGCCAAGCTGACAGGGTGGGCAACAGCATCCCCTGTCCCACGGGTGCATCCCTGCTCCCACGGGGGCACGGGCACTGCCTTGGGGTGCCAGGGTTCCCAGCCCCTCACCGTCCCCCTGAAGCAGAACTGTGGGGCAGGACCCCCCCCCCCACCATCCCCATGCCCCCCCAACTCTCTGGGCACAGGATGAGGGGCTGGGAGATGCTCCTGGCTGGGCTGGGGTGCCCTGAGCCAGCCCCCAACCACGGCATGCACCCCTGGGGTGGGTGCTGCCCCCGGCTCCTGGCGTGGGGAGGGGGCGAGCTGCCCTCCCTGCCACCAATAAAGTCACCCTGGTATTTATGCCCCGTCCCCCTACTCCTGCTTGCACCCGCCGGCACGCCAAACCCAGCCACAGAGCTTTCCCTCGGTTGGGGGCTTTGGGGTGAGCGGCCCCCAAGGATGACGAGGGCAGTGCCGGAGGTGTTTGGCCCCCCCGCCATGAGCGGCGTTTGGGGACTTCGTTGCAGCCGGCTGGGGCCTCTGCAGTCTGACCCTGAGGGAGTAGAGCTGAGCAGGGGGAGAGGGGTTTTCGGGGAGCTGGTGCTAGATTTTGATGGCTCCCGGTTGAGATTTTTTCCAGGGGCTTGACCTGAGCAAAAAGTGCCGAGTCCTGGGAAATGTTTGCAAGGTGCTGAGGCTGGTGCTGCCCCTGCAAAAGGGCTCTGCCCAGGGAGATGGTGAAAAGACAAGTCCGTGGCTCCTGGCAGCCTCACGGGGGTTTATCCAGGCGGTGTCCAGCAAGGAGAGGTGGTGATTAGTGGCACAAAGCATCTCCAGCACCAGGATGGGACCCAGTGTCGTGGCAGGCACCGTCCCCCAGCCTCCAAAAGTGGGCATCAGATGCTGGCAGGGGCAGAGCCGCAGCCGTGCTCCCATCCTGGTCCCTTGTGGTCCCCCACACCTTCCCCATCCCACCCGGCCACCGCCAGCCCCAGCCACCTCATGGCGTGCCCCATGGTATCTTGGGGACAGAAAGCAGTGGTCCTGGGACACCCACCTTCACCCGGGGCTGCGTGGAGGCATGCCCCAGCTGCGGATGAGGAGTACCGGCTGCCCAGAAAAGCCTGCCCGGGGGCCCGGTTGGTGGCACGGCTCTGCCCCCAGCAGCGTGGAGCTCTTGGTGGCCGTGGGCACCTCCAGCCCCAGATCCGCACAGGCGCCTGGGGTGTTTGCGGGACCGAGGGCATCATCAGGATGCGGGCAGCGGGTGCCACCCCATCTGCCCACCCACTGGTGTCCATGCCCGGGGACGTGGCAGCAGCACCGGGGTGGCCGAGCTAGCCCTTCCCAGAGAGACACGGCACAGGGATGCTTCTCTACAGTTTTATTGCGCTCGATGGCTGTTGCAGGAGGGGACGGGAGGGCTGGGTAATGGTCAGCCCTGCCAGCCACCAAGTTGGGGATGCCAGGGCAGCGGGGTGTGCTGCCTGTTCCCGTCCCCAGCACGGAGGCACGCTCAGGGCAGCGGGGACAGCCCCACCATGTTGTTGGCTCTGTTGAAGATGACGTAGTACTCGCGGATGAAGACATCCCCCAGGATCCAGAGCTCACCCGACTCGGTGGGGATGTTCATGCCTTGGAAGGCGAGGATGCAGGACCCGTCCATCTGCAGCCGAGAACATGGTGAATGGTGGTTACCAGCTGCCAGATCCCCCCATCCGAGCACCCCCCCGCCAGTCCCCCCCCCGGCAGGATGCTCACCTCTATCACATAGGCACTGGGGGGCACGGAGAAGGCATTGCCGTTGATTTGGAAGACGACGTCGGGCAGCATGTTGACAGCACTGCAGCTGATCTGGGTTGGGGGGGACACAATGGAAGGTGGGGGTCAGCGGCCACCCCAGGAGGGACCATGTGCCCCAGAAAGCAATGGGGACCAGTGCACCATGGAGCACCCCAGGGTCCAGCTGGGCACCCCGCAGAGCTCCAAAGGTCCCCAAAGCTCTGCGTCCTCCCCTAAGGGCTCACCGCGCCGTTGGAGCTGGCACCGAGGGCGCTCAGGAGGTTGCCAAGGGCACTGTTGGGCACAGCCAGCAGCGAGGTGCCTGTGTCCACGATGGCCTGGCAGCCGTAGAGGCAGGCAACGGTCTCCCCGCTGACAGAGACGCTGGGGAGAGGGGCATGGGGTGAGCCTCCTGGGTGCCAGGTGAGGGGCCGCCCCCCCCCCAAAACACTGGCTGGGGAACAAGGGGAGCCACGGAGCCTAGGAGCTGCACCGGGACTACCTGTCCATGGAGATCTGCCAGTAGGTTTCAGCAGAGAGGGGGATCCAGGTGATGCCGTTGGTGGTGTAGGATGGGTCGATGCCGCCGAAGAGGACGAAGCTGCCTTTACTCCCGTCCCTGCAAGGAGGGGAGCCATCAGGTGGGGGTCCCACCCCGCCACCACCACTCCTCTGGCAGTGCCATTGCCGAGGGGGGGCTTTGCTGCCATCCTCCTCTGCTGGTGCTGGTGCCGATGCCGGCACAGCGGTGAGCCATGTCCCCCAGGAGCCACCGGGTCTCACGCCACTGGGGAACGGTGCCGGAGCCAGCCCCGGTGGGAGGGAAATGGGACAAAAACCTCGGCAAGGGCTGGGCAGCTCCAGCCAGGGCTTACCTGCTCAGGTAGACGGAGAAGAGGTCCTTGGCCACGAGACCTTCCGACATCATGTTGTCAAAGACAGGGGTGGCTCCGGAGGAGGAGATGCTCGGGAAAGCCAGCCCCAGGATGCCGTCAAAGGGGCTGTAGTAGAAGAAATCGCCGGGCTCGGTCTCAGCCAGCCCAAAGATCTGGTTGAGGACGTTGATGGCTGCAACCTGGTCGGGAAGATGGGGAGAGGGGCTTGGTTTGGGCAGGCGGTGCCCCCGTGTCCCCTCTCCGGTGGGATGGGGGGGCTGGTGCACCCCGCCTTACGGTGACGGTGTCATAGCCCAGAATGCCAGTCATGCTGCCAGTGCCGTAGGCGATGGAGACGCTCTCGTTGGTGCTGACGAAGGTGGAGGAGTCCGCTGGGTTGAAACGGTTGTGGTTGCCTGCAAGTATAGGAGGGAGACGGTCACAGTCTGTCCCGCTCTTGAGGACTGAGGATGACTCTCCAGTGCCTCCCCCGTCGCCCGATGTCCCTTAGGAGAGACAGGGCAGAGCCGTCCTCGGCTCCCAGCCCACCCAGGGGCTCCCGGAGCCAGGCAGGGCAGCAGGGCTGGCGAAGCCCGGGGCTTCCCCTGCCTTCAGCCCTTGCCCGGTGACTGCGGGGCTGCTGGACACCTACTGCAAGCCAGGCTGGAGCAGTACACCGAGGGCACCCACAGGTTGGAGGAGCCGGTGTCAAAGATAACAGTGAACTCCTGGGGTGGGGTACCGATGGAGATGGTGCCGAAGTACTCGTTCTGTCAAACCGGGATGGGGAAGGGATTAGTGGGATGGGGAAGGGGCTGGCGGGATGGGGAACGGGTTAAGGGACTGGGTAGGGGGCTAGTGGAATGGGGAAGGGGCTAGTGGGATGAGTAAATGCTTTAGGGGAATGGATAAGGGGCTAGCAGGATGGGTAAGTGGCTAGTGGGATGAGTTAATGGATCAGGGGAATGGGTAAGTGGCTAGTGGGATGAGTTCACAGGTTAGGGGAATGGGTAAGGGGTTAGCAGGATGGGTGGGGCTAGTGAGATGGGTAATGGGTTAGGGGAATTGGTAAAGGGTTAGAGGGACAGGTAAGGAACTAGTGGGATGGGTAAGGGGCTAGCGGGATGGGTAATGGGTTAGGGGAATGCGTAAGGGGCTAGCAGGACAGGTAAGGGGCCAGTGGGTCAGGTAAGGAACTAGGAGGATGGGTAAGGGGCCAGCAGCCCTGTGGGGTGTCCCGCTGGTGCCAGCCCCTCTGCCCCGCCATTCTCACATCCATGTAGTTCTGCAGGGGCTCGGCAGAGACGCTGGCGTGGTAGTACTTAGAGGCCGGGTTGTAGGGGTGCTGCTTCAGGTAGCGTTCCAGCAAGCCATGTTCCTTCAGGACCTGCCGCAGGGACTTCCCCCTCCTCAGAGGGACCCTGGGGTGCAGGGGAGAGGGGAGCCGATCCGTCACCAGGAGCCGGGCAGGGACATGCCTCAGCGGGGGGCTGCGGGTACCCCCGCCGTGTGCTTGCCCTGTGCCTCATCCCACAGCCCCTGGCGTGGGACCCGGGGTCTGTCCTCGCTGCGGGGAGCCTCAGCCATGGCGATGGCTGGCGGGGGCGGGGGGGGGGCGCAAGTTGTCCCTCCATCCCTGCGGCGTGCTGGGAGCTGGGCAGTCACCCCGCTTGCCTCCCCACAAGCATGGGACCTGGGGGTCCTCGGGACCGCGGTGGCCGTGTGGGCACCCCAACATCCCAGTACTCACCTGGGGCCAAGGCACTGGGCCAGGGCCACTAAGCCAAGAAGCAGGAGCAGCTTCATGGTGCCTGCTAAGCCAGTGACCGAGGCGAGGAGATTGTGAGTGTGCCACCAAGCCCCAGTCCGGTTCCTTATATCCCAGCCACGCTTGTTTGGTTGGCGTCCCCGATAAGAAAGGCAAACAGCTCTGGGGACAGTTATCACAATGTCCTTAAGGGAGACGGCGGGGGGGGAATGTCAAGCTGAGGACTCTCCATCTTCACTGGGGTCAAACGTCACAGCTGGGACACAGGGATGCTTGTGGCAGGCTGGGGCTGGGAGAGAAGCACTCTCCACTTACTCTGAGTCCCGAGGGAGAGGCACTGGGGGACAGGGGGGGACTGGTGAGGGTGACATGGGGCTACCTGAGGCCATTTCTGGGCATTTGCCCCCCCATCTGACCACCACGCAAGCCGACAACACTGCTGTGGCTGAGGAACCGCAGTGTAAATCGTTCACCATTAGATAAAAGCACTTATTTTCCAGTTGGCTCTAGCTAGCCGGGGTAGCCACCGCTGCCGCAGGGGATGACGTTTTCCCCAGCCCCAGGGCAGCTGCAGTACAAAGGGTCCTGGGGCTGCTCAGGACCATCCTTGCCCCACTGTGAAAAGCAGAGTTTCTACCTGCAGGGGTTTGTCAGGGTGGAGGTGGCATGGAGATGTGGGGCTGGCATGGGAGCACCAGTCCTTTGGGGTCCCTTGGTGTCCCCCAGACCCTTGCCGGAGGGTTTGATCCTGGTGGTTGCAGCCTCATGCCCCTTCTGCAGCTGCTGCCTAAGGGTGTGCAGCCCTTGGAGGGGACTGGGGACAGCTGGTGGCCCCTCGCCGCTGCCCTGAGCACCCCGGGCTACCTTGGGGTGCCCACCCATGGGTGACAGCTGAGCCCCAGCTTCGTCACCTGCCTGGGCTGTGGCTGGCCGTAACCCTGCCACAGACACAGGGGTTTGCACAAGGGGCTCCACCAAACACCAGCACTAGGGGCTTGGTAGCAACACCGGGGTAAATTTCCTTAATCTTACACCTACATCCAACAAGCAAACGTGGTTATTCCTCCCCAGCTTTATCCATTACAGATGCCGGCTCCTGTTAGCTCAACACAAAGCATCTCCGACTGCCTGCCCCGGGGCTCTGGGCAGGGAGGGTGGAAGCCCACGTCCTCCACCACGGCTGAGCCGAGCTGCTGCCTGCAACCCCCTGCCTGCATCCCCTGCCCCTGGGCTGGGGTCAGCTGGAGGATCTGTGCTGCTGGGGTCCAGCTTAGAATCACAGATCACAGAATGGTTTGGGCTGGAAAGGACCTTCAACATCACCTAGTACCTACCTCCCTGCCATGGGCAGGGACGCCTTCCACCAGACCAGGTTGCTCCAAGCCCCGTCCAACCTGGCCTTGAGCACTGCCCGGGATGGGGCATCCACAACTTTTCTGGGCAACCTGTTCCAGCGCCTCACCATCCTCAGAGCGAAGAACTTCTTCCTTACATCTAATCTAAATTTACCTTCTTTCAGCTTAAAACCATTACCCCTCATCCTATCACTACAGTCCCTGATAAAGAATCCCTCCCTATCTTTCCTGTAGGCCCCCTTTAAGAACTGGAAGGTCTTCCCAGAGCCTTCTCTTGTCCAGGCTGAACAACCCCAACTCTCTCAGCCTGTCCTCACAGGGGAGGTTCTCCAGCCCCCTGATCATCTTCGTGGCTCTCCTCTAGACCTGCTCCAACAGGTCCCTGTCCTTCTTACGCTGGGGCTTCATCCGCCTCCATCTGTCCCAGGGCTACCTGCAGAACTGGGACCAGCTGGGGGAAAGACCAGCTCAGGATGCCGCTGGTTGAATGATACCAAGGTCGCCTGCGTTGGCCTGCGTCAGAGGTGCCCGATGCTGGACCAGGCGTCCTGACCTCCGTCACAGCATCACGTGCGTGAGATGTGGCTGCTGGTACGGTCACCTTGTCCTGGAGGAAAACAAAGCCAGGCCCTGTGTCACCGAGCTGGGGACCAGCCTGCCCAGAGGCACCATATGGGCTGGAGCTGGCTTTCCTCCCTCGGTACCAGCTTCACCCCAGGTCTGAAGAATAAAAGAATTGAGGATAGATGCTAAATTGCAGTGTGGGAATGAAATGAATAAGAACATGGTAGGAGCTGATGGTTGGGATGATGTTGGGAGAAAAGGGATGAAACACTGAATTGTCCCTGAGCAAAAAAGAAGATGCGATGCGTTCATTTTGGGGGTGGGGGTCTGGAAAGGAGAAGGTCTTGGCTGAACCCCAAAATGGAAAGTCTGGACCTGGCAGGAGGTCACAGCCTAAAAACCCTGCATGGAGCCTTGGCATCGTGTTCCCCACTGGCCTCCTGAGCCAGGCTGTGCCTGCAGGTAACTGTAAACTACAGAGAAAATCAGAGATTAGACAAGAGCATCTACTTCAGGCTTTGCTCCCTCACCCCGTACAAGGCAGCAGCACGTTTTGATGAATACGAGCTCAGATAAGGAGCAGCCCCAACAAAGGGGCTGGTCCGCTGCAAACATGTCCTTGCTGCGCTACATGTGGAAAACATTTTTTTTTGTAAAAGGTTATCGGAGCAGAGCGCTTGAGGACGCGTCCCTTGGCGGGGAAGCTGCCATAGCCAGCTGCCTTGGGACTGCTCCGACGGGCTGTTAGATTGCATTTCTTTTCCCCAATACCCCAGGTGTCTGCATGCAGGGAAGAGGCTCTTCCCGCTGGGCAAAGCCTATTCCTCTGCAGCACACGGGGTTTCACTGCTCCACCGGGATGGCTCAGGGTGATTCGCCCAGGCTGCTGCAGATATTAGGAACAGCTGCTGCAAATCCTGTTGGTCTATAAGGGAGATTCAGAGTTAAGATTGGCTGGTTTGGCTGGATTTTGCTTGATTGCCCTGTGCTGAGAGCCCTTTGCAAGTTTCCTTGTGCCTCGGCGCTGGTGGAAGGCAGAGGCTGTACCCCTGCAGAGCCTGGCCCCTCAATGGCAGTGCTTTTGGGGAGCAGTTTGGAGAGCTGTCAAAGCTCACACCTGCCCACCCGTTTGCCCTCCAAGGATTGAGACCCAGGGTTTCCTCCAAGGAGGCTGCTCAGGAGCCCTTGGGCTTGGCATGTACTCCATGCTGTGACAGATAACACCGTAGGAGGTCCACGGGAGCTGGCGTGGGCTGCAGGAGGTGGTGGCTGGAGCTCCGCAAAGCCAGTAGCCATGGGTGCGTGTTGGTGTGGCTCCCACATCAGAGAGCCTGTGATGGAGAGGAAGGTCCTGCTGGGAAGTGGAAATGGTCCTCGGTCCAACCTCACAGCAGGGAATGGGAGGTAACCGGTGGGTGCGATGGGGGAGCGGGGTGGTAATTGCCCCCTGTCCTCGGGCAGGGATGGAGGTCTGGGTGATGCTGGGGTGGACTTTCCTCTATTTGTGAGAACATTTGTTCAGCAGAATGTATCTGCTTAGGGTGGGGTGATGTAGGGGTGAGCTGCCTCCAAAGTGTCCTTCTGTGCTGTCATCCTGCCTTGATTTTGGTAACGAACAGAGAAACTTCTCTGAGAAATGGCAAGCTGAAGGGCAGTAACATTTCCAGTGTTAAATTCTTCCTTCGGAGTGAGTTAGTGAGTTGGGCTTCGGGGACTGAAGTCTGGATGTGCTGTCACACTTCGCTTCAACCTGGTCTCCCTTGCTTTTGGGGCTGTGAAGTTTTGCTTTTTTTTTCCTGCCAGAACATTACAGGAAACAAAAATGACAAACTTTTCAAGAATTGTTTATCAATTCAATTCTCTTTTTTTTGCCAAACAGTCAGCACGTTCAGACATAACATAAACTTCTCCGGGCACAGAAGGAGGGACTAACCTGTGCTCTCATGGCAGTCCTCTCTCTGGGCAAAGAGGATGTTTGGGGTGAATGCTCTCCTTGTATTTAAAAAACAAACTGGAAAAGCCTCATGCTCGGGACCAGTGTTTTAGTGCAATGTAACTTGTTTTGTAATGTTAGAGAAATATAACTTGTTTTTTTCTGTAACTCAGTCACCCTGGCAGCAACGGGTTTGCCAGCAATTAAAGCTCCCTTGCCCAGAGCAGCAAACGGACTAGAGAAGCTGCAGCAGCTGAAAGCCTGCTCCATTTGGATAAAAAGGTATGTCCTGTGTTTCTGGGCTGATATATGGGCCTCGAGGTGAGCTGGCCTCTCTGAACACCCAAACTGTATCCCAGATTCAGGGATTGTGTCGTGTAATGAAGACTCGAAGCAATTTTCCACTTTTTTACTGCAGACCCCTTACTGCACGCAATTGTTCCTGAAACAGAGCTCCATGTGCAAAGTTGTAATCCCTGAAGAGCAGGATTTCATTTTTTCAATGGAAGGAAATAATTTGTCAAATTATGAGAGGTTTGGGGAGGAGCTCATTCTTCTGTCAATAGATCCCATCACTAGGAGCCAATAAAAAACTGTGTGTATTCAGACAGGCAATTCAGTGTATTCAGACAATTGATTTTTGGCTGTATCATTACACACAGAATGAAGAAGTTATGGAATTCAGCACCAGAAAAATCTCAGAACAAATATTTAGCACTATTAAAGAACAAAAGAAATGGGGGAGGGTGGAAAATAATCACTATCAGGGTGTGAAATGACTTTCCGATAGGGCTACGGAAACACTTTGTCAGATGAGAAAACCCTGTCTGACGATGAGAGGGAAGGTTTAACAGCAGGTCAGCCAGCCCCTGCCCTGGGCACTGCACAGCTCTCAACACCGACTTGGCATCATCGTTCCCTTCAACCTTGATGGCTAATTCCTAGGGGAAGGATTTTGCTGGAGATGCATACGGGCTTGCTCTTTCATGGGCTGAAAGCGGTAGCGGCTGATGCTGATGGCTCCAGAGAATTTGGAGGCAGATGTGGTGTGACCCATCTACCATTTAACAGCCTTCCAGCCTCAGGCCCTGGAATGGGAGGGGGGGGCAAGTCAGCAGCACAAGCAGCCTGGTGGGTTCGTCGTGTTGTCAAAGATGGGGATGGCTCCGGAGGCAGCGATGCTGGG